AAGATTTTCACTTTCAGTTGCATTTTGTCTAGAACGTGTGTGACGTTATAGGCATGCAGTAGAGGGACATAACTCTTGCAAGTTATAACCAATTTTATCTAATCGTTTGTAGCCTATTTGGTATTTATTTTCTTCCAGATTTGACCATTAAACTAGTTTCGATTATCCCAACAGGTCCAAATTATAAATAAAAAGAAAATCGATGCTGGACAAGAGATTAAAATATTTCGTTTCATATGAAACAAATGGCCATTCCGGATTTTATCAGAAATCTTTAGTTTCGTTTTACAAGTTGTTTTTGTGCAGTTGGACACGATGTGGCCAGTTGGTCAATTCGGCAAAACAAACCCACCGTCACTTTAAGACTTGTGATGCTAAATTTCAGTGATCCTTCTAAAAACATATTTAAAATTTGGAATGCTGGCACAATCAGATAAAATCTAAAATTTAAATCTAATATTTCAGGTAGTAATGACATTAAAAGAAAATCTTTTACCCACATGATCTCAATTTCATTTCAATCTTCAAATTGGATAACACGCTGCATGGTTTTTAGTTCTTGTTTGTTCTTAACCTTTGAACATAATAATACAACAGCAAATTCATAGAAATTGAACTTACTGTGATCCTTTAATATATGTTCACTTTCTTCACCCTTTTCTTGATGTCTTAGTTCTGGAGGATGGACTAATACTATAAAATAACTGCAATCCACAAAATATATCAGAAAAATTGCTGTAAGTGAATTTTAGTACATGTATATCAAGTCATATCATGTTTCATATTTTAAGCACTTTTCATCATCACTAATATAGTGTATTTTATTTTATGCAGAATAAATTGTTTTTGGAAGACAGGAAGGATTCAAATTTCAAGCAAAAGGAAACACCAGTACAATTTCCCAGAAATTGAGAAGTTCCTGTAACCTCAATATGCTCTTTCATAAAAAATAGGTTTAAAAAAATATTACCTTATTGCCATTAATACAGGTACAACAACCATAATCAAAACTGTAGTTCTAGGTTTTAATCCTGCTGATGTAAACCCAGCGTAAGCTAAAGAGCCAAATACACCAGCACCACCAGTTCCTGATGACCATGTTGATACAACATTTCTATAAACAAAAAAGAAGAGAAACATTTCTACTGGTAGATACAAAACTTAGGTTCTGATTCATTCCGAAGATTTATCTAACAATATAAACTTTACTTTGAAAAAAAAAACCGATGTCACTTCCATATTATTTATTGTTTTAAATTATTTCATAATCTTATTATACTGATATTGACTCATCAATCATTGATATTAAAAGATTTATCAAAAAAGTTCAATATTACCTATCAAAAAATGAGGATAAACTTAAAAATGTAATTTCTCCTAAACCCCCGCTAATACTGGCACATATTACTCCTGAAACACATACATTTACACTTATATTACATATCAATTACCTCGGTTATAAATTGAATATTTAGCAGTCCATTTTCTGCATTCACTGCATGTTGAATGTTTCAATAATGTCAAGATGGAATTACAATATCATTTCATATCTACAATATCATTTCATATCTTCAATTCAGTCCATGACACTGTAACAGATCAAATCAAATATGATATAATCTGGCAAATCAATAGTGTTATGTTATTGCAAAATTTCATTAATTTTATTACCCAATGTACACTGCTGTATGAACTATTGAGTTTAAACATATGTTTCCATACCTAATATACTCAACCAAACATCTTGAGCAAAACCAACAATAAAAAAACTGGCAAGTGCAAATAGAACTGTTAAACTGACTTTAATTCTGTGAAAATAACACAAAAAAGTTACATTATAAGAATATTTTAGATTTTCTTAATATCAAGTTAGTCATTTGAATTGCAAGGTACTAAGTTGGATTTTTAAGTTAGAAAGTGACTTAAACTTAGTAGAAATCTATATAAAATTCACAAAATAATTAGTTTACTAAGTTATCAGTAGGCTACCAGTGAAAACTTACTTATATCCAATTTTCTGTATATATAATGGTCCAGCAGTTTTAATAACTAATGTAGGTAAAATATCAGCCAATAAAATAGCCTGAAATAATCACTTTAATGTATTGGAATTCAATTTACAAGTTCAAATGACATTGAACAAATATACAATTTTAAGTTTTTTATGTTTGGTCAATGTTCTGTAAATTAAGGGAGATGTTTTGAGGCTAACCCATTCATTTTCATTTTCGTAACTAACGATCATAACAGAAATGATAATTAAGTCCTGTCTCCCTAAGGCCAAGTATATATCAATTAGGATAGTTCTTAATTTACCAAGTAAATCAGTGCATACTCCCACAATAGGCTTAGAGGTATATGTACAGTATAACTTCTCAGAATAGGTAGCTGTAATAAGGTTCTAAGAACTCTAAACCCAGTACTGAACCTTTGCTAACTAAGTCTATTGACAAATCAGAAATTATTTCTTTAACTCACCCCTGTACCTATTTGATTACATGATAAATATGTTGTGTCTTCTACGGTAGTTGATAGAGGAGAAATGGTTGTGGTCTGAAACAATGACAACAAGAAGTTATGTTTTGTAGTGTAAGTGTTAAAAAACAGTCATAGGGTTTAAGTTTCATGATAAAATGAAAACAGGACTCCTGAAAGCTGTCTTGTATTACTAATAATTAAAATAAAACTTTAGTCAACCAATCAGAAATATCTAATAATAATAATGATCTATCTCGGTTTTTCCTCTGTATCTCTGCTATTCTGACATTTAAGGTACACAAAGTGAAACTTACAGAACTGTTAGATCCCTGAGTTCCATTAGATGTTTTCTGTTCTTCATCTAAAATGTCATGAGCAGCACTTAACATAATAACATAAGCAAAATTATTGCATAATCCTAACACCCTGAAATAAATAACATTTTTATAACATATAGGTCTAGTAGTATATTTTGAAGTACAAAGATGGCTATGTAAAGCACAGAATATAACAACAGTGTAGATACTATCGGACAAGAGTGTTCCTTGCAAAATAAATTTACTTTAGAAACCCAGTAGCCAAATTAGGTCAGCGGAAAACATGAAGTATTGTAAAACAAGGAAAAGTCTCTAAATAATCAAAACAACTACAACAGTCATTCTAATACGACCCTAACCTTTGGACCATACTTATTTTGTTCAAACTAGTTGGTAAACTGTGCCATAGTCTTATTTAGAACTCTGTATCACATAGGAAATCCAACTTAAGTTCATGCACACTGTGATCCCCCTAAAAAAACCATGAGGACTCAGATAGCATGAAAATGTCTGTCAGCAGATTGGATGCCTAGTGAGGAAAGTCCATGTTAAAATGTCCATTGGCAAGTATTTTAATGGTTTTGTGTAATTTGCTGCATATAAAATGTCAAATTTTCATAAAACTTCCAATCATACCTGAAGCTGGCATAATATTCATTCTTATTGATACGCCTTCATTTGATCTTGAAAGATATGATTAATTAACTTTTGATAATAATTTCTGTAACTTACCAAAAGCCAATTAAATTTCTTCTTTTATCCCAGGATTTATGCATAATACCTGTCAACAATACAAACAAAACATCAGACTTGGTTAGTTACACAATCATTCTATCATATCACCAACTCTATAGATACAGTCTCAGTGTTATCAGGATTATAAAAAAAATTCAGTTTATTTTATCCACAAATGCCTTGATAACATTTTATAGTTCATTCACTTTTCCAAATATTATAAAACAAACAAAGATCCATTTGAAAAATTATGGACACCACCTTTGAATAAAATTGAACAGGAAATCTGGAAGGTAGAAGCTATTAAATTCCCAAATATAAATACTAAAACTTAAAAATTTAATAGAATCAATTATAATTCAGAATGTATGAATCGTACTCAAAAGCTGCATCTAGCATAACCAAACTAAAGACTCAATCTATTTCTACAAAATGAAAATAAAAGGTGGATAATTGAATATGTATTTATCAGAAATTCATACACCTGGTGCAACAAAAACACTGTGGAATCTACCAGGTACAACAATATATCAGGTAATATAACAATAGTATACTAGAATATATCAGGTAATATAACAATAGTACACTAGAATATATCAGGTAATATAATAATAGTATACTAGAATAAATCAGGTAATATAATAATAGTATACTAGAATATATCAGGTAATATATCAATAGTATACTAGAATATATCGGGTAATATAACAATAGTATACTAGAATATATCAGGTAATATAATAATAGTATACTAGAATATATCAGGTAATATAATAAAAGTATACTAGAATATATCAGGTAATATAATAAAAGTATACTAGAATATATCAGGTAATATAACAATAGTATACTAGAATATATCAGGTAATATAACAATAGTATACTAGAATATATCGGGTAATATAACAATAGTATACTAGAATATATCAGGTAATATAATAATAGTATACTAGAATATATCAGGTAATATAATATAGTATACTAGAATATATCAGGTAATATAATAAAAGTATACTAGAATATATCAGGTAATATAACAATAGTATACTAGAATATATCAGGTAATATAATAATAGTATACTAGAATATATCAGGTAATATAACAATAGTATACTAGAATATATCAGGTAATATAATAATAGTTTACTAGAATATATCAGGTAATATATCAATAGTATACTAGAATATATCAGGTAATATAATAATAGGTTACTAGAATATATCAGGTGTTATAACAATAATATGCTAGAATATATCAGACAATATAATAATTTAGTATACTAGTATACTGTGCATCACTTTAATAAGGGTTGATAAAACAATGTCAGAACCTGTAATTATGGTAATAATAGTACACTGAAATATTTCTGGTACAATAACAGTATTTTGGAAAAATGTACCTATAAATAAAACAAAAAACAAACCTTCTTCTGGAGAGGATTGAATACTACCACTCTCCATTATAATATCAGTACTTTCATCACTCCTATCTTCACTATCTAGTGGTCTATATCTTGTATCCATAATATTATCATTCTACATTTATCATTCTGTATGAAATGTCAATAACAAAATTTAAAGAGGCTCTAAAGTATAATCTTAATTTTTGTATGACATTTAAACATAGCAAGCCGAATACAACTTGTAACTTCCAGAGTATAACTGACCTTGTTGTTATTACCCACTACAGTGTATAACATGTCAATAACACCCAGTTCTCAATTGTAGGAGAATGGAACAGCAGATTTTATATATCTTTCAGCTGACAAGAATATAGTCTGGAAGTTTTCACTGAATTTTCAACACTTTCAAGGGAGATTATTCGATAAGCATATTCGATCTATAAGTCTTGACTTACATCAATTGACAACAATTTTTTGTCAGTTTATTTGATATTTATTTTTCGAGCAAGAATCAAAATTCAATAACATTGAATATAAGCAACCAGTCTGACCATCTTGAAGCTGTACATGGACCAAGAGGAACCGGATGAAAGAGGCTACTGGAAAGGCAAAAGCTTAGACAACTGAATATCTTCAATAACTCTTCTGACCACACTATGAAAAGGAAACCAAATATCTTAGTAACCAATCAAGTTCATTGGAAAGACTATATTTTACAAGAAGCAACAAACCCCCCATCACCCCCCATCCAGCTTCTGTCTGTTCTATTATCAAGCCATTTCAAATGTTAAAATATTTGGTTTCTTTAACTTCTTACTTTTGTGTCAAATTTGATCACAGTCCTAGTTGAATGAGTTCACTTGTGTTTTATATAAATACAAAGATAATACTATCACCAACCCATCCAAATACTGACTTTTTGTACAAGATATTTAGCTAGACCTTCTTAATATTATGATAGAACAGTTGGATGACTCTGTTACTGAATAAGCAACTTCCTAATCCTTAGTAGACTGATCCAATTGAATCTTTTAACTCTTGAACAATTCACCCCCCTCACTTACCTTTTATAATAGCTGATAAAATAAGTATATATTGTAATATTTTTATAAAGATTTGTATCTTTTCAGAACCTACTTGGCAAGAAGACTTAATATTTGTTTATAATAATTGCAGATTACCTGTTTGGTTTTTCATGTTGAAAACTAAGAACTAATTACAATAAAGTAACATAATTTTAAGCTTGAATAGATTTCAGTGAACAAAGTCATGTGACAAACTAGTGGATTCCAAGCGGAAAAATTCTATGGAACACAATGTAGGCCATATTCTTATGTTGTTTCAATGAATTTTAGCAATAAATTACTCTTACATTTCACTAATCGAATCTTACTGATTTTTTTTTAAATCATTGTTCTTTGAAAGAATTGTCATTAGTTATAATGACTTGATATTAAAGATAAATAGTAAGAAATGATAAATATACCACTGCAGGTATCCATACACATCTTTCTCTCGAAATATTGTACATGGAAATAGATGAGGCATTTTACACCTTAATTTGTGTTAAGGTGGGGGATTCATAAAGAAAGTGGGATCAAACCAATTTGAATTATTTTATAGAATATCTGAAGAAATATCTAAACTACAGTGGTGTAACCTATTTTCGTGGATATAAGGATTCAACACCGAATTTCGTCAAAGTTAAAAAAAAAAAAAAAAATGTTTATGTCCTAGATGTCTCCTCAGATATTCTACAAAATAATTAAAATTGGTTTATTTCGATTTTCTTTATGAATCCTTCACTTTAACCCATATTTCATGAGCAACCAACTCGGCAACAGCGGTAACACGCGTCACCTATTTTCGTGTACAATGTTTGGTCTATAAATAAGTCGAGAAAAACACGTTGTATGGATAACGGGTGGTATAATTAACTTCTCTTAGTATTTATCTTTAATATCAATTCATTATAACTAGTGACAATTCCTTCAAAGAACCACGATTTAAAAAAAAATAGTGACTGACATAATAAGATACGTAGCGTGATTTATTGCTAAAAGTCACTGAAAGAACATAAGAATATGGTCCACTTTGTGTTCCATAGAAATTTTCTGCTGACACGGAATCCGCTAGTTGATCACGTGACTTCGTTAGACTACATTCTAGCAGACGACACCTGGAATTCCGATTACCACTTGTGATTATTAGGAAATTCGGCCGATAAAAAATGGTGACGTTTGGTAATAAGTGAAATCCGCCATTTTGTATTTGTCAAAGTATACATTAATACATTTTACCTTGCTTGCTATTACTGGATTCATTCTACTAGCTGATATTGTACAGAAAACCCATGTTTATCAAAAAAAAACTAATGCGGAGGTCGCTCATGTAAATTATTAATCATTTCCGGAAATCCACGAATAATAGGTTTCCACGAAATTAGGTTACTTGACTGTATATATAAAAAAATGTCCTTATTTCAATTTTGAAGAAATTCAGCCTTGAATCCCCATGCACGAATATAGGTTACACCATTGTATTAACTCCACTCTATTTTCATCAGATCTCTTTATTTATGACCTCGGCCAGTGACTTAGCCTACATAGGAGTTTCTATGAACCTATGACAATGATCAGAGAGTTAGTAAGGACTTTGATTATATCATACTATTTCTATAATCTTTAAATTATCTAAACGAGAAACTGAAGTTCCAATATATACCATTGGGAGCAGCCTTTCTAAAACAATCTCGGCTTGGCAAAGTGTCAATGATAGTAGGCCTAATAGTAGTTCCTCCGAGCCATCTAACCTACTTTGAGCCGAGTATGGACTGTGGTCTGAGAGTAGTAGCATATTTTTCAAATGGTTAAAATTGTTTCTAAAAATTTGTTTTTATATTATTACAATGAAGACTTCCTAGTCTTTAGGCATAGAAATTCACGATTCAAATGCCCATATATATAGTCTATCAATTCTGTCTAATATTAGTAA